GGGGGGTTAATTGCCAGATTCCAGCAAGGACAGTGCTCGTGGAGGCAGTGAGACCATCAGCAGATTATAGCCATATCTGATCCACAGATAAGTAGATCTGAGTATCATCTGATGTGAATGCCCTCTTAGACTTAAAAATTGTGTTGGACATAGTCCTATGACAGAATTATCAAATTATCTTATTTATTCATTTACTTGTTTATTTATTTATTTATTTATTTATTTATTTATTTATTTATTTATTTACTGTATTTATATTTGGGGGTGGAATACTTGCAACATTTTGCAAGTACATCTTGAATTTTTGGTTGAAGGTCTTTCACCAACTTGACATAAGTCAGAAACATTCTGCTCTGCTGCCCTCTGGGTTTGACTGCTATTGAATGCCTTAAGTTTGTATGAATTTTAGCAGTTTTGAATACTTTGGGAGTGGAAATATCTAGAGTGAGTTCAAGTGTTGGGTGAACTTATTTGATGTGTTATGTCAGAAATACATACTAGTAAAAAGATTAACATTAAGGAATTTGTTACAAGTGGGGATGTGTTCAGTTTTAAATAGTTTACTTCTTGAAGACAGTTGATAGTAAAATCAGTGAGATATTAAACATTTTTAAGAAGCTATCATTTTATTCTATTCCAGAGGGACGTATAGTACCAGACACGACGGCAGCCACATGGGAGACACTTCAGGCCAAATACAGCACTGTGGAGCCTGGGGGGCGGTGGAGACCCAAGGACTGTACGTCCCGCCATCATGTGTATATTGTGATACCTTACAGAGACAGGGATGAACATCTACGCATCTTGCTCAACAATCTTCATCCTTTCTTACAAAAGCAGCAGTTGGATTATGGGATATACGTGGTAGAACAGGTCAGTGCGAGGGTTCACCAGTAGGCTGTGATATGAGGGCGATGCTGATTGCAGTTTACTAGATATTCTCTCTGTACTTAATCTGTGCATCTTTAGTATCAAATTCAGTTTTTCCATGGTTTCCATTTATGTCCACAGCTAATTATGTGTTAAACTTGCCATGTAAAATGTATTTTGAATGCTGCAATGTTGGCAAAGACACTTGTTCATGTTTAGAATTATGTTAATTTTTGTAAATCAAAAGTCTCTTTGTTAAGTCATTATATACGTGAAGTATACAGTAGGAGTCAAAAGTAGTTACAGTATTTACAAAATTCTATAGAGTCCAGTTGCTGTCATTGTCAAAACATGTGACGTCTTACTTTCTATAGCTAATTAATACATTGTATATGGATTACTTATCAACTTAGCCCTTAGCAGATAATCCCAGCTCAAACTCTGAATTCCTTGTCTCTCCACAGGCGGAGGGCAGCCATTTTAACCGTGGTATGTTGATGAATATTGGGTTCATAGAAGGTCTCCGCGTGTCTAACTACTCGTGTGTAATATTCCACGATGTAGACCTGCTTCCAGAAAATGACAATAATTTTTACTCTTGTCCTCAACAGCCAAGACACATGTCAGTTGCCATTGACAAGTTTAACTACAGGTCTGTATGCAACTGTATGGGAATGATCATAATTTTCATTTAATGTGATTGTATGATGTCATAAATATGGTTATTTTCACATAACTTGTTCAGTGAGCCCGGAGATATAGCATATGAGTACTATAAGGAGTATAACCTGGATGTTAGGATTGCAGAAATTATTATGTAGATTAGATACCAGGGCACTCTTTTATGTTTGAAGGTAATTGATGTGATCAGTGAACATCTAGATATATATCTTGTCTTATGAAGAGCACATTGGGAGTTCCAGTTGAAATTATCTCTTCTTTGTTGTGTCAAATTATTATTTCAAAATTTTCAATGATTTCCAGGCTTCCATATGCTTCATTATTTGGTGGGATCACAGCACTGAGAGTCGAGCAGATGAAGAATGTTAACGGTTACCCCAATGTCTATTTTGGCTGGGGCGGAGAAGATGACGATTTCTCAGACAGGTTTGGACTGCTTTAGATATACAACTGTTACTAGCCAGACACTGGATTCTTTATGCTTCAGAATATGTGCTTTAGTCAGAGAACATGTAGAAAAGGATCAGTGGAGAAAGAGAAAGAGGATATGATCAGCATCTTTTTTTATTTTCTTACTTGCATCAAAATAAAGACAAGTAAAGTGTTTCACTCAACCCCAAATGCTTTTGATTTCTAAACCCCCTTGAAATGAGGTGTCTTTGCCAGGAAGTAATTTGATGCTTTAAGATCTATCAGTATATACGCATATTTTTGAGATGATGGTTTATTTTAATTTCTTTGCAGAGTGCGTTCCAAGGGTTACCAGATAACACGTTATCCAGCAGAAGTCTCACGCTATAAGATGATCAAGCACAATAAGGACAAATCCAACCCGCCAAACCCTGTCAGGTAGAAATTGAAACTAACTGCTGAGTTTCATTAGGTCATAGATATTGTTTTATCTTCATAACACCCTTATGAAAAAGTCCTATAGGATCCTATAGGAAATTGGGCCTATTTCCTATAGGATAATATAGGATCACTAGGGCAGCTACCAGCATTATGTTAAATAAAAGAACTCTGAGACATATCACCAGATACAATACAAAGAAAATTTTGGGTTTAATGGAGTCAGAAATGTTGAGAAATCTGTTGAAATGTTGCAGGTTCTCACTGGTACGCACAGCTAAGTCTCGCTTCAAAGTGGATGGGTTACAAAATATTCAGTATGAGCTGGTGAAGAAAGAAGAGCGCCCTCTTTACACGTGGCTCAATGTCAAAATCGATGAGAAGAAAGTGCTGCAGGTGAGTGGAGCATCTTGTGCTCTCAGCGCCATCTAGGAATAGGTTTTGGAGTATGGTGGTAGGCAGCCCCATTTGTCAAGCACTTCATCCATGTGGTAGTTTGAAAATGCCATATACAATCATAAAGTTCAAATGTTCAAGAGAGCAGAATTTTTTTTCAGCTGAAGAGATGCCACAGGTGTGAGGCTGGAGGAAATATACATTTTTTGTTTGTTTGTTTGTTTGTTTGTTTTACAAAGATATCTGATTGCTGTGTGATGGTCATATTATGTCATTTTTTATCTTTTTCACAAGTGTGCAAGCTGTATGCTTGGCAGGGAGGGGATTACTGCCCTCTGTACTCTTTTCAAAAGTAATAAAAATGATCCAGATTGCTGTCAAAGGTCTTCAATTTTAGTTTGTCACTGTGAACTATCTTAACTGGAAGGGGGGGTTTGGAAAAAATCTACTCTTCATATTGTGAAAGTGGTGACAAAAAAGGGATGACCCCATAGGCTCCTTTACATCAAATAGCTTGGTTGAATTTCTATGTTAAGAAATACATTTGTAATATACAATGGTGTCAGGCTGTCTCTGCCTAGGGCTGTTTGGTTATGTCTGGCTAGGACAGAGTCTGTCTTGGTCTGTCTAGGATTGTCAGATTTTAAGTTAATCAGTACATTGTTACTGGACTATTTTTTATCAAAATACAAAATATTTCAACTTTATACAAGTAATATCTCACTCAGCAAAGAAAAAGTTGAAACAGTTGTTTCAGATCTCAAACAGAGTTCAAAGCTGCAGTTAGATTTAACTTTTTACTCTCTTCAGTTTGGGTCATAGAATTACTTTTAATTCACTTCTTTTCTCTGCTTTCCATGCAAGAATAGTTTTGACATGTGCATGTACAGCATTGTGTGTAGCTTTCTATAGGGTGCTCCTTACTAGAGGGTCAGTACATTTCAGAGGTGAGCAAATTGTCACGTAGGGCCTGACCTGAAATATAACCCTGCAACTGTTTGAGTTTATATGTCTGCTATCTAGAATACTTGGTCTATCTTATTGTCATACATTGACCATTTAGTAGTTGCAACAAGTCAGATTGAATGTTTACTTTTCTTTCGTGAGGGCTTGGATGTTTCTATGATGAGACCCAAATCACTGGTAAAGTGGAATAGGAAGTGGTTTGTGATCAGTGTGATGATGACCCAGTTCAAATTAGAAGTTTAGATATGTTAAAAGTATTCTCAAAGGCTATTAGGACTTCAGTCTTCATTCTGCAACGTTTGTTGGCACCTTTTGACCATGATGAGGAAGAATTGAAAGTTGCATTGGTTTAGACAAAAGTTAGACCACAGTGACACATCTAAATTGCTGAATATCACAGTTAGTTTGGCTTGTGTTAATTGCTGTTGATGTTGAGGAGGGAGTAGTGTCTGTAGAACTCGGCTCTCATCTTTTATATGACTTTGGCCTGTATTTCAAGATTTAATTTGGAAGATTAAAATGGCAAAATTTCTGGTGGTAAAAGGTCTTCCTGCTTCTCTTCAGAGAGGGATCCAGTATGAATTGATGTATATATGAGCTGACACGAGTTTGGGGTCAACAGGTTAATTCTCACAGGTATGAGAGCTGTTGTAGGGCTTTATTAAGGCACATTTTCATCAGCTTGCATTTTTTTTTTTTTTTTGCTTGCTTCATTATCTATATATGATATCTTTTCATATAGCTTATTTATTTATTTAATTGCATGGAAAACCAAGCTTTTAACCATCGTGATATTGCCTGGCATGTAATAAGCTGCCCCCCCCCCCCCACCCCCCTCATGTGAACAGATACTTTGAGGAGTGTAGAGTATGTAAGAATGGAGCAATGAGAACCTTTCCAGATAGCCACATCACACCTAATAAAAAAAGCAAAAATAAGGCTAGCCTGCCCTCATGTGGATTCCTACATGTTCTCTAGTGTTATGTGAGACCATACAATGCCAGCAGTTACGTGTCACTTGTCAAGTGTTACTGTCGTGTTTCAACCAAATCTACTGGAACAGAAGCAGCAGTTCTTGGTGACCCTCAGCAAGCATTTCAGTGTTACCTAATAGAATGGGATGGGGAGATTGCACGAGTTGTTTCTGCATTGCATGGGACTTTCGTTTTTGATTTTAGATTCCTTTGCTGCGCTTTTAGTTTAATATGGAATTTAACGATATCAGCTTGCATGCATGAAATAATGCTTAGACTAATGGAAGATAGGCATATACTTATAGAAGAATATATTGGTGGTATATTTTGAATAAATAGTCTTTTCAAATAACACAGCAGATAGTTTAAGGTTATTCTTTCAGCATCCTTAGTTATAACACTTTGTGCAAACAAAAATCTCATAACCCTGAGAGGTTGTGGCTGCACCATACGAAGACTGTGGAAAAATTTTAACCTATTTTTTTTTTATACGTGGTGTGTCAGTACATATAGTCACCAGCTGCCATCGTCAGCCTCAATGTCAGGCACCTTTCAATGTGAATATAATAGATTACGATGTAACTAACTGCAAACTTAAATTTACTAATTAAAAGCATAATTGCTGGACATGTTTATCATACTTTCATACAGTAAGCATTTATTGCATTTCCTCTTATACAACATTTTCATTATAGACGTATATATATGAAAATGGGATATGTAAAAGAAATAGTGACATTGTGAATCCATGCATGTAAAATTTATATATAAATGTGAACATTTGTTATCCCCAGACTAGCTACATGAACCAGTTTAAAACAAACCCATGGCTAAGGAATATACTGAAGTCATAGCAGAAGGAGATACATTGTCAACAGCACCCAAGGCCATCCCTGGTGTCTTGAAGGACTATTCACCATGAGAGATGGTTTCATTATCAGCATGTTAAGTACAGGAGCAATATCCCAGAAAAGTATTACTGACAACTTGTAATTCAGAGTGCCTGGAGGATGTTTCAGCATGGCAGTCAGTTGAATTGTGAAGTGTTTATGGTGATGTTGAATGATCTATCAAGTTAAGATTAGAATCCCACTCCTATGTTCCCAGCAGGGTGAATACCTGCAATCGTTATCTCATGAAACCATTGTATGGCAAGGACTGCAATTGTCAACATTGCACTGCAAGGACGTCATCATTGTCAACATTGCACTGCAAGGACGTCATCATTGTCAACATTGCACCTCAAGGACATCATCATCACCATTGTCAACATTGCATGGCAATGACATCACCATTGTCAACATTGCACTGCAAGGACATCACGATTGTCAACATTGCGTGGCCAAGACATCACGATTGTCAACATTGCGTGGCCAGGACATCACCATTGTCAACATTGCACTGCAAGGACGTCATCATTGTCAACATTGCAGGGCAAGGACATCACCATTGTCAACATTGCACTGCAAGGACGTCACCATTGTCGACATTGCACTGCAAGGACGTCAACATTGTCAACATTGCACTGCAAGGACGTCATCATTGTCGACATTGCACTGCAAGGATGTCATCATTGTCAACATTGCTTGGCAAGGACTTCACCACTGCAAGAACATTGCATGGCAAGGACTTCACCATTGTCAATAAGAGACAACTCAGTCTTGAATCTCATATAAGAAGTATTAACAATTTCAACATTGCAAGGACATCACCATTGTCAAACATGGTTAGGATACTGTAATAGTCTAGTCAAAGCGGTGGCAAGAGTTATCAGTTGGCTTTGATGAAGTGGTATCATAGGTAAACCTGTTAAACTTGTACCAGTTTGTAGCGAATTCTTTTTTTTTTCCCAAAATGGCTGCCAGATCAAGCTGGCCGCCCACACATAAGAAAGTGTTTGTGCTGCTTTCTTGCTACGTTTGAGACTAGAAAACCATCACTACAACAGGTAGCCCTGCCAGGTTTATGAATAAGGAACCCAAAATGTCAAAGTGGGTATAATTTCCAGGATTGCTACCCATGGAAGTTTTATGGTTGATATCTCTTGATAACCAGCAAACAATTAATGTGCCAAACAGTGTTTTTAAAATACATAGATGTTGTATGTACTGGCAATTGAGGGCTGTAAATGCTAACATTTTAGATCTGACAAATTTTCATAGAATTTACTCTGTGTTCGTCTTAAAACACATGAATGCTTATGGGATGTAGTCAGAGGTGGTATAATTAGTATTATTATTTTTTGCATGATGAAAAGATATTTTATGTCAGGTTATCATGTCTACAAACTGACAGCAGTTCAATATATATAAAGTTGATGTAAGCTATGGGTTTCAATACATCCACATATTATGTTATAAGAATTGTATAGTACTGATGTCGAGAATGTCTTCAAAGAGATGCAGTTGTAATTCAACATAATGATATAACTTTGGGAAGTGTGTGTCTATCTGATTCTGTGCATTATGAAGAAGACATTGGTAGAAAGTTGGTGAATACTTAGACATCAGTGGTGAGAAGAATCTCAACTTCCTGCATGTAAACTAGGACCTATGATAGCTTGTTGAGTCCTAGATATAACGAAATCCTTTTTAGTGTCATTTTTTTGCCAACAGGGAACTTTTCTGATACAACATCGTTTCATTTAAATTTTGGTATCCTTGTCATCTTTTAGGGTATTTTTGCACAGTATTTTTTTTTCATATATTATTTGAATTTAGTACTTATTTATAATTAGTTGTATTCACTGTTAGTTTTATCTAAAAAAGACATTGCTCAAAATACAAAAAAAAAACAAAAAAACATTTGCATCAATTGGACAGGCAATAGTTCTAGTCATTCTTTTCATGTTTTTACTGTGAGGATTAAAACAGTGTAGTTTATCTGAATATCTTATTTTACACAGGAATTTTACTTACCTGAGATATTTTTGGTCTAGTCTGAGGCCTCGTCAGAGTTGTACTGGACATGCAGAGCATAGTTTTTGAAGGGTGGAATAAAGCATAATGAATTTACACTGGTTTATTATAATACTCACTCTCTATCAACACATTGGGTTATGTTTATTTATGTGGGGCAAAGCAGTGTCGTGCTGGTGATACTTGGAATGTGTTGTCAGAGTTAAAATGCTTGTCAGAATTGTTCTGCAGTATTTTTTTTTTTTATTAATATCATGTAATGATCAGTCTGGAACAAAAATTGAAATGTTTGAAATCTGCTTTCCGTTGTTATATGAACTGGAGCCAGTGTCAGGAAGACATTGTGAAGACATTGTGAACCCAATGTGGCCAGGTTTTGACCATGGCTTAAGTTGCCAGGTGCAAGTGCCTGGTCCTGAAATTTGCTACAGTAGATCCTAACAAAATCAAGTCCACTGATTATCAAATAACACTGCAAGAGATAATGCATGCTACATATTATAGAAAAATCAAAAGTTACAACATTAGCAATATTAAATTGTTAGCATTCTAAAGTGATATTTCATATAGTTAATGTCAAGTAAATATTTACACCTGCACATTTTAAAGTAGGTGTATCATGTTTAATGTTTGGATCTGGTTGCAGAGAATGGGGAACTCGGTGGTTATCTTACTTGTTTAAAAGGTTGAAATATTCTATAATAATATGGTATGCTGACAGAATGCTCTTGGTAGGAATTTTTCTTTTACTTTGCAGTGAATCTCATTCCTTTGGAGAGATATACATATTATTTATAGTAAAGAGTAGAGAATTTTGAATTGTTGAGTAACTGGATGAAATATTTCTTTTCTTAGGGTCTCATTATTTACATGTTAACAGCTAATATTTGGTTTAAAATGCTATGTGATGTGATAACTTGAGTTAAAGTACAGGGGTAAAGTTACAATCACATCTTGTGTACCCACAGTCCGGGCTCATCAGTGCATTTTAATTATAATTATTTCTGTTTATTGAATAAAGTCCTAGTTTTAATTATTTAAGTGTTCAGTCTTTCAGTACTGGGGGGTGTACGTTATTTCACTGACATACTAAATGTAATTTTACATGTGCACAGGATCTCTAATAGAAGAAAAGAAAAATCCCTGTTTAATTTTACATGCGCATAGGATATCTAAAAGGGGGAAAATTAAGAAAAAATTACATGCCATCTAAAAAGGGAATACTTGTTATTTTCAAACTTACTGAAAAAATCCATTACACTTAAGTAGCTTGTGTAGGAAAAAAACTCAGACTGCATACTCTGCTGGAAGAAATGCAGTTTTTTATGACATTTTCATTTTTCACATACTTACGTTTTCAGCAAGACTTTGGTTCGAAAGCTGGCGCTTCTGGGTCCAAGTAAATTACCTTTTGCAAAAAAAGAAAAAAAAAATCAAATTTAAACTCCAATAAGACAGTTCTAAGACCTTATCAAAGGCAGGATGTGTCAGTGGCTCAGTTGATAAGACGGCAGAGCAGTAAGTAGGGTGTAGGTAGGCGAACTAAGAAAAATGAAATTACTTTTGCAAGTTTTGAACGAAGTAAAATATTTGTGCGTTTATTATTGTCAACATGAATGATTTACAGCATTAAAAGTTTTACACAAATGATGAAAATATAACATTTTGTGCTCCAAATTTAATTAATATTAATTCAAATTTAACAAACAGAAAAAAGGATATTTAAATAAAACAAGTACAAAGCTAATGCATTTTTAACATTGTTACTAAAAGACGGAATCCTCTGATTTATGTAAAAAAAAGTTCAAAATCGTACAATTTGAGAAACGGATAATAATCAAAATGCATTTTAAACAAAATGTACTAGCAACTTTTTGTCAAAGTTCACATTAGTGTCGAGTCTTTATCGAATTCCATCAAAAACATTTCCGTCCAAATTCAGAGGTTGTAACAATTTTAAAAATGCAAATAATCTGCTGTAAGCGTCATTCGTGCACTAACGCACACGCGCATGTAAGCACACCTTGTCCTATTGAGTAGTCTTGTTAATATTTGCACATGAAATAGAATAGTAACCGAAATTTCTTCATATTTGTTAAATGCCTGGTTGTTTTGCCAAACGATTTTTTTTAATTTTGTTTTCTTTGAACTCAATTCGAAAATAAATATCGCGCAAGGCGTAACTGTGGATAATAAATTAGATTTGCAAAGTATGGAAATCAGGAGCGACATAAAGACATGGACGGTTTACAAGATTATCCAAGGGTTAGCCAACTTAGGAATAATGTACAAACAAAACTGAGAGGGTTACGCAAAAATCAGTGTGTTTGAAGTGACTTTTTACATTCACTTAAAATTAACTCTGGTTCTCGGTGTTCAGTGATGATACTACGCACAAATAACACAGCATTTGTTACGACCCGATATGTCCGACAGACCATATGTCCTACGACCAGAGAACAAGCCAGATATGTCCGACAAAAAAGAACCAGATGTGTACGACAGGCCAGATATATCCGACAAAAAAGAGCCAGTCGTGTCTGACATTTCTGGCCTGTCGGACAAATCGGGTCGTCACAGCATAGGCATGCAGGACTGATATCTAACCAAGCCCGTCTTTCTCATTCACGCTTCTCTGCACATTTTAGGCATTTTTTTTCATAAGACATGTTATTCACTTTAAAAATTCAAACCAAACGAAGTATTAAGGTTTACTTACACTTTGATATAACGGATTTTCTGGAACAAAATACTTTAAAATATCATTTTAGATAATAATTCTTAAATGACTGACCGAACTGTTAGAATGGGATTTAGTGTAACAGATAAAATAATAAATCTTATAATCTAATATTAAGAAATCTGTAGATTATGTTTAAGAATTATTGATTGTTCACTATCTGTTTTAGCAAAATTGACAAAGGTTGACGATTTAAAACGTCATGGATCATTTCAGAACACTCATTACCTCCCGAAAATTGGGCTTTGCGATAGGTCAAGTGATTTTGAAAATATGAAATACAAAAGGCTATGTCAGTCCTACACAAAAGTGGGCAAACGATTACTAAATGAAGTTCATTTCCGTTTTGGTTTTTCGACACTTCTTCAGTCAAAAGCTTGATATTGAAAGAGTTACTTAATTCTTATAAAATAACAGAGCAAATAAAATCCTTCTCTTCGACACTTCTGTTTTTTTTTTTTTTAAGACCTAAACGGCATATGAATCATCTCAATCCTGGGATTTTTTGTAGCCAACTTTAGAAAACAGGTTTCTTATCAAATACGCAACTTAGACCTCCATTCTACTACTGGAAAATGAAAATTTAATTGTATTTCGGATGGCAATCTTTATCACACCCCATGGTTTAACTTTGTATCAGAAAGCAGATATTTGATCCCCGCCCAGCACTGAAATGCTCGGCTGTCACCTTAATTGGATAGTAAACGATTGTCGTAAAATCGCTATATGATTTTAAAACCGGGTGCATAAATTTGAAAGCCACCTAGATGAACCTTAGACTGCCACATTAATCTAATACAATGTAAAAAAGCCCTATCAAAAGTGGTTAAAACATTCAAACCGAATGTCGTAAAGTCCTCATATATCCCCATAGAGACAATAAAAAAGAGTACTCTAAAGTAAGAGTACAGTTTAAGGTTGTTCAGCCGAGCGTGGATGAGCCCGCAGTCGTGCTACAAAATTTGTTCTGGGGTATGATACTCCGAAATGCGACCTGACACACACCTTGAAAACGGGTAGCGTGGTCCGATATACCGGTTAATTCAGGATCCTTAGGTGCCGAGTCTGGTAGTTGGGTAGGCCTGAAAATGGACAGGTATCAACCCCAACCCAAAAGTATACATAAATTACCCTCATAACACCATGATCAGATATAATCACTGTACTACGACATAGTAACATACAATTACCAAAAGAAACAAACCAGCAACATGAAGGGCGGACGCTTAGTATTAATTTAATTTCTCTAAGATGTTTCATAAATTTAAAAAAAACTTGCTTTATTCGACGTTAAAATTTGATATACGTTTTGGAGCAGAATGTTACAAACAAAATCAAACAACATTCCGTCGAATGTCGTCCCTGCAAGTTAACAAACGTCGGCATGGGAGGCAATCTTGGCATGGGTGTGGGGCTGTATGTGTCAAACACGAAACGTGTCTCTGAGTAGGACGCTTCTGGTATCTTCGTAAACGATACTAAGAGTCACTGGCATTAAAGGAATAAATTCACATTCATGAAACAATGTTTAAATATCTGATAAAGCGGTACATGTTCATTACAGCAATTCGTGTCAGTATCATTTGTGTTATAATTAACAAATCGCAATTAAGCTTTAAAATACACACACACACACACACACACACACACACACACACACACATATTCATATTGAACCCTCATGGGAAGCTAATGGTACCAGAAACAAAAAGGTGCCCAAAAGGCACTGAGGGAAAGCTAAGAGAAAGTATCCTTCACGTCAGTTAGATGTCCACGTGGTCATTATGCCTAGAGTGCGCCATTTCTGGAAAATATCATCAATGTAAAACTAAGAAATGCTACAATACATTTTCTACCAACTGTACGTAACTTACGAGATACTGCTGCTGGTTGCAGTGCCATCTTTTCGGCCTACATGTGGCAGTAGCAGTAATATGGCTTATGGGACATCCTTCTTCTCCATCTTCTACTGACCTTGGTCTTATCTGAGCACCTCTCACCAAAACGCTCACCTGATTTACATGATGATGTAGAGGTCACCTACTTTCCGTGCGGACGCTTCAGTATGAATTATTATGAGAAGGCACTATAAGTTTCCATCCCGAAAAGAGGATTAGGGGTTGATAAAGTCATAATGACACACACACACACACAAAATAAATAAAAATAGAAATGCATTTCAAAGTCAACATACTTTATATTGTGTGACAGGGCATATAAATCAGCTTTCATTAGTCGAATGAACGAACTGGGGGGGGGGGGGGATTGTGATAAAAAGACAGGATTTTCATTCAATCTTACGGCACAGAGTAACCTTAATTTTCTTGTTGGCAGAATCGTTTTTGAAAAACGACACTACCTTCTGGTTGCCAGGTTCGATTTTGAAAAAATAAAACGAAACTGGAAACTAGACACGTGACCCTAACTTCAGAGCCCCAAAAGTTAAGACAAACCCCATGTACTCTGTCTTCGAAAATATAAGAGTTTAATAATAATTCCTTCAAATACATAAGCAATGTGGCTACCATGATTTATTGTACTTAATAAAATGATTTCAGAAACAAACAAAAATGAAATAAATCGTAGAAACTTAAAGCTTAGATAGTTCTGTGGTCGCACATGTGATCTAGAAACCTACGAGACGCCGCAGAGCACTTCGAGAGAATCGTTCACGTCACAATGCGGTACTTCAGTGATATGCAATGGCTCGCAAACGAACAAAACTAAACGTCTGAATAATGCAGACAATATTCTTATCGCACTTTAAATCAAGTTTCACAATGAAAACTAAAATCCAGAACGGTCCGTCAGATAATCTGATTGTCAATTAATAAGTGTCGCTGTGGCTTTCGTCGGATTTCTCGCAGATAAACCCTGGCAGACGATCCCTGCAGCGCGCGTTTAGCCAGGCGTAGTCCCTGCTGGTGTCCAGATAGCCACAGTTCATGTCCTCCACGTGCGAGGGATAGCCGTCATACCACGGGGGACGGAAGGAGAGCCGCGAGGTTTGACTGGACGTGTAAGGGTACCACCAGGTCCAACCCGTCTCTTCAGAGTAGTAGAGCGCCATCCACAACGACCCCGGTCGGACGCCTTGTGATAGGAAGTAAAAACATAGACATGATGATATATGTAATCAATGTTAACAACAGAAGATACAAAGAGAAGAATTTCATCAGCTGTGTTAAGTTATAAGAATGATGTGATTTTTTTTTCTTCAGTCAACAGCTAATATTGATAGACATCGAAATATTGGAGGTAAAATGGAGGCTAAATAGGCTAAATATAAGCTGATGACTGAAGAAAAAATCACATCATTCTTGGAAGATACACAGTTCTCAGAAAAAAATCGGCGACAATGTAAAAAAGGTGCGTGGGGATTCATCGCGCTTAGAAACTAGGGAATGCATGTTTACGTTGAACCATTATTATATCAAACTGTGAGGTTATGGGCTCTTGTAACAGGCAAATCCTAAAATAATAATATACCCTTTACGTTTTAATTTAAATACTGGTTTATAAAGTAATTTGGTTATATTCGCTAGTTTTTATTTGCCAAAGCTTTTACTCCATCTTAACGACTCCTTACTCTGCAACATCAGCATGGCCCGGATGAAGTTGTCCTCCTCTTGTGTTTCTATGGCAACCAGGTGTCCGCCCAGGTGTGCGCAGTCTTCCTGCGCACTGGCCTGGGCACGTGGGATAGCATGAAGAAGATAACAGTGACCACCATATACCATAGCGTCCGCCCAACCGGGGCATCCTTAGGTAAATAAATAAATAATAAAAATAACACTTTACATGTAAATTAGGATGATCATGATCATACATCACGAAAACTAGTTCATTTTTCAATAGTTAATTTATAGCCACTAGTAACAAGTGCAGTGCCGCCCGCCCCCACAATAGACCAGTGCAGTGACCTACAGTATCTATGGAGTAAGGCAGCTAACGCCGCATTCAGAATAGGGGACTAACTGTTCCGAGGGTCAAACATGGCCGACCCACTTGAATACTTCCCCACGGGATAGCTATTCAGTGTCTATTAGCAGATTAGAAAGCAAGCTTTGTAGTGGGTCGCCATATTTGACCCGCGGCCTTGGTAGTCCCCTATTTTGAATGGGACCTAAGAAGTGGGCTTGTCCGCCACTTGGGGGCGCCACTAGCAGGAGTTTTAATAACATTAAGTACATATTTATATATGCCCACATACAAGAACGCCCTGAAGACAATTCCAGAATTTGCCACAGTAGCACCTCCCTCGTCCCTGTATAACTGCACTGAGTTTGGGAACTCACCAGTTCTGCAACTGTTATCCCGACATCTGAACCCTGTCATGCAGTCTCTGTCAACTTCACACGATCCACCCAGAGCTGGAAACAAATTCATTAAGGACTTTAAATAAACTTTGGAAGATTGGCCAAGTATAAGAGGCCTTGGTTTATGTAAAAAAATACAAAAATGCTAACACGGAGGGTTTTGTATCTTTTGTGTCAAGGAGAAAAAGAATAACGAAAAATAAACAATTTTTCCTAAAATATGGAAAATATAAAGTCTGCCACCGTATGATTTAAAAAGCCAGAAACGAAGATGAAATCTCTGTAATTGTTGAGGTTTGTACCTACCACGGCGGCACTGCTTGGTCATTGGATCACATGTCAGGTTGTGTAAATCAGCACAATCAAAGTCTGTAGAACATGCCATGCCTTTCTCTGCAAATAACCAAGGTTAATATGTTATATTTCATGTATAAAACGCATCGCAAGTCGCCATACTTAGTGTTATTGTTATTGTATCAGCTACAGGTAGGTACGGGTTTTGTATGCTTATATATGCAGCAAGCTACGTCTGAATTTCCGAAATTTGAAAACGAAAAGAAAAAAGCAATGTTTTAACATTAAAAAAGTAATGTACTCCCAAAATGTGCTACATTCGTGGAATTTCCACTGATGTCATTGGTTGCCTTTTTTTTTTTTTTTTTTTTTTTTTTTGCATTATCGAACATCGATATGTGCTTTTGTTTACAATGATCAGTTATATTTCTTAAGTGCCCTATATTCAGGTGTGTCGGTATGGTAGTGGAATGAAATACTTGATAACGGCAGTGAACGCCTGATAACCATGAAGAGGATACACATTCTTCCTTTTCATTGGTTGTAATTTCTCCATTTTTTGGATATAAATACGTATTTTCTATTACAATAAACGCAAAGAAGACTCCGCATACTGGAGAATTACCCCCCAGAAAAATCCGTTTAAAGGCACTTTTTCCCGCCAAAATAAAGAGTGGTCAGTAGTTCCCACATATACTCACGTGGTGTTATATTGGTAGGGCCTAAATTGACGTTAACCCCCAGGAAAATCCGTTTTAAGACACTTTTCAAGCCAAAATGAAGAGTTGACACTGAGTTCCCTCTCATACTCACGTGCTTTACAAAACCCCAAGCCCTGCTTCACCATGCAGGTGGCGCCACGGATACACTCAGGATCATCTCCACACTTCCCGTTGATGGGTCGTATACACTCCTTCTCCACATCTGCGCACACGTATCCCGTGCTGCACTGCGAGGTGGTCTCACACTTGGCTTTGATGTTTAACTTACACGTGGCAGTCTGCGGATCACAAATCATCGGTCTCGTGCAGTCAGTGAAACTTTGGCACGAGGCGTTAAAGCCTCGCTCACACGTGCGCACTTGGTACTCGTTTTTGATGCACGCTGTCCCAGTGACGCAGTCGAAGTTGGTCTCACAAGGGTTGCCGCGTTTTGCCTTGCACCTGCTGACCAACAGTCTGGTGTCACATTCTAAGTCTGCGGCACAATCATTGCTGGTTTGACAGGTGAAGTTGACCATCCCACGGCAGGTCTTGTGATCCAGCCCTATGTCGCACTTGCTGTTCCAGACACATTCTGAAGAGTCCTTGCACTGTTCGCCGACAGGCAGAAGACATCGGTTCTCAAGACCGTCGTTTTGAGGGAAGCAGCCAGCCCTGCCGCTGCAGTCGTAGGAGGATGAGCAAGTGCCGCGTAGAGCCGTTTTGCACTGTCGGCTCAGCTGGTCGCAAACCTGCTCTTCGTCGCAATGGTTATCGTCACTGCACATGCGCACACACACTTTACGTGCCGTGTCGCAAATGTACTCAGCCTTACAGTCGCTTGTGGACATACACTGAACCCCGGGGACAGTCCGGCAGATCTGACTTGTGACGTCACACTCACTACCCGTGACGCAAACATTGTTGGCCGTGGTGGTGCCCCTACAGGAGCCGCCAATAGGCACACTGCAGAGGCTGGTCTCCTTGTCGCAGACGCTGTCGTGCATACACTCCTCTGAGCTGATACAGCGGTAGCCGAGGGGGACCAGACATCTGTTGGAGTAGGAATCGCAGATGGCGCGATGTTCGCAGACAGACTGCTGACCCGTGAAACACTGGTGGCCGACACCGTACTTGCAGAGGTGCACCTCCCGGTCACACACGTACCCCACCTGGCAGTCGCTGAGTGTCTCACACCGATTGTTAAACTTCATTTTGCAGACGTTCTCCTCACAGGAGCCCCCGCTGACACACTCCATTTCATCCTTGCAGTGCCCTCCTGGTTTCTGCTTGCAGGTGGCGGACGCGCTGTCGCACAGCAAGCCGTTTGCGCAGTTAGCGTCCACGTTACAGTGACTGCCCAGGTGTCCCTTGCAAGTGCCCGTGACAGTGTCACACGCCGCGTGAGATATACACTGCTCAAGCGTCAACGAACAGGACGACCCCAGTCCATAGCGACATTCACGTGACTCAATATCGCACGTGGTGTCTGATACGCAGTCATGATTGGTGGAGCACTGTCCGTTAGCGCCTCTCCTGCATTCACGCATGGCGGAATCACAAACGAGTCCAGATTGACACTCGGACGTATTAGAACACCTCTCCTTGAGCCCCACCTTGGGTCCCATGACTTCCATAGTGTTAGGGCCAGGGTCGATAGATGTCTCTCCGTTACCAGCTGTATCTCCAGACTCATCTGAGCTGCCATTAGTTTTGTCCTCGAGCTTCTGGGGTTCGACTTCTGAAATACACATTTTACTCCAATTATTCATTAATTAATTTATCTGCCGCAGAGGGGTGGGTGATGACCATGATTAGGTATTGAACATGAGTATACCTGTCCAGTATGTATAATTTACATGCGTAAATAAACAAATACAATATCTTATCCATGGTATACATGCAAGCCATGGCTTTCTTGCCACAATTCCACCAAACATTTTTATTCCGCAGACTATATTCTAAAAATTTAGTCACTATTATTGGGTACTGTGCTCGAATATTAAAATAATCAAACAAACCCTACAACAAATGTGCCTAAAACTGTCTAAAATTGGAATAAGGAACAACAAAATACGACCCAAAAATTCAAGAATCTAAACAAGCCTCGCCCATACCTCCGCCTCCCTCGGTTGGTGCCATCAGTTTAGACACCTGTTCCTGAAGCACTGCCACTTCAGCTGCCAGAGATTTCAGCTCACTGTCACATGGACATAGAAAACTGAGGTCCTCTGTGCTCATTTCTGTACCACACGACACCTTGCCCTGGAATACAAGGGTTGGTTTCTTTATTTTATTTATTTCATCATTTCTCTATTCGTTCCGTCACATAATATTTTATTTGTTTATCTGTCCATGTACTTATGCCTTTACTTACAAAGACTTTGTTTAAAATTAGTTAGACTGTATTATCCATTTGACCATCGGTTTTTCTGTTCATCTTTTAACCCTTCACTCCCCCTCTCTCTCTCTCTCTCTCTCTCTCTCTCTCTCTCTCTCTCTCTCTCACACACACACACACACACACACACACACACAAACAAACAAACAAACAAACAAACGCGCGCGCAAGTACTTTCCTTTTGCAATTTCCTCATTTGATTAAATTATTTCGTTTGATGTGCTTTTTATTACCTATATCTGATAACAGTGAATCACCGGTTTACATTCACTCTTGAACTCTGATAGAAGTGTGGGGTAGGTGACTTCCACTATGGGGTCACAAAACAATAAAGGTGACGTGTGGACTGTCCACTAAAAGCCAAGGCATGCTCAACCCTTTAACACCCTGTCAACGCGTACATCTGTATTGCGTGACGTTCTCCCTCTCTGATGCTGCACAATTGGATGACATCTTCACGAGTTGGCTACATTTCTACGGAATCACGCAAACTTCTGGCACTGAAGTTCCAGCGATCGAGGATTGATGTACTTTAATGGCACTTAATACGTGGAGTGCTTCCGTGACATTTTTACAGTTGCTATCAGTGTTTTTATCGTTACTTGATAATTATTTATGGTTTTTCAATATATACTGTTTATCACAGTGTATATTCGCTAATGCTTATTAAATAGATACTTATTCCAAAACTATTTGTTTATTCTTCTGTTTTGTTCTAGGTCATTGTACATTCAGCAGCAGCAATCGGCCCAACAAGCTAACTTTTTTCGTTAGATCAAGCGAGAATGAAAATGTGAAAAGATAATTTTAAGGAAATGATTGTAGCAAGTATCAATTTTCTGAATATGACTTGAAATCACACCGGAAAAAATAACTGTGACTAAGGAGCCTGGGGCCAGTTTCTCAATGTTAAAGGGCAACTCCAAGGGATTTACCCGCCAAAATGGATTATCCCTAGGAAACGCAGTTTTTTCGTATTCACAAATTTTTAATCCCTCTCTTCACTTGGATCCGACATTTAATTGCATTCATAAAGATTGATTTAGTTAAAAATGACTTCCCAACCATTGCATCAACGACCATCTTCCAATGCTCCAATGAAAGAATCACCATCAGTTACGATCCAGAAAAATATTATATAAGGGGTTAAATCGTTTTTAAGGTGTACGTACGGTTTTATAAGGAACTAGAGATGGCAAAAATAGCATATTGGGGACTTCAAAGCCATGGAGTGTACCTTTAACCTGAAAACAGTGACTGATGTGGCACTTTCTGTTCCAGACGAACTTTGGAATTGTGATTTCCTCACATGCAGCGTTTCTCATTTCTGCTGCTATTGAGGATGTGTCAGAATTTGAACCTCTATGATTTTATGTCTTATGGATAGCTGGCGTGTATAGTCCCCTAACCTTACAGCAAAACGCCGACTACGTACCGCCCATGTTTAGCTTCCGGCATCATGTTGAAGAACAATGAAAACTAACAGTAAACTCCCTGTCTTGAGACTTGCCAATATTAACAAAGAAAATGCGTGATCATTTTGTATCCTACTGTGTTCCTCCAGATGAAACAGGTTTACTAATGTTAGAAGGCTAAATTCTGAAGATGACTTTGTGAAAAATCAGTTCTGGTCACCTTATGCATCGCCAAAGACGAATCAAGTGTTGCTCTTTTTCACGCTCTCTCTTCTTTTCTTTTCTCGTATAAGTTATCTTTTTTTTTTTCTATTTTGCGATTAAATCAAATTAGCATCATATCTTGTATAGCAGCGTGCTAAAGTTTAATGATATAGATATAAAAGCTCAACACATTACTCTGCATAAAATCTTCACATATTTACATTTATCGCTGGTTGGATGCTAAAGAAATGCCACGCCAAATAAAAAAAAAAAAACAGTACGATTTCCTGCATGCCTGCATTGACGTGGTTCTATCGTGGTCACTCTATTTAGTAATAAGCTCTACTCAGTCTTTTATACAAGATGAAAACGTTAGGTAGGGAAGCGTAATGACTACAGCATGTGTTTTTAAAAAAACGTCGAATTCTTCCCAACTTTCAGAATAACACCGTGACATCTTATGACGGTGACTGCTACGACAGAGAAACATGGGCGTTTAAAACAGCCCGTACTCTGCATAGTTCTGCTGTCTTAATGAAATGTCGTATTCATACAGATGGGTTATCAAACTTGTGATTGATAACACTAAGTGTCTACAATGAACGCATAGGTTTTTAATATGACCATATTTTATCAACTTATCATTAAACAAAATGTCATTTCAGCGAAAATGCTCACATTGCGTCTCTTTTCTTCGCCGTTTTCCGTTTGTCTCCGCCATTAGCTTCAATATTATTTCTACATGTTGATAATACACTATCAACACTTTGAGTGTTATTGTTAAGAGCGTATGGTAATTTAATTGCAAATGAATCACTTTGTTGTTGTGTTTTACTGTTAGTGCTGACTAGCCTGAAGAGTCGCCGCGGGGACCGAACCAGATTATTACCTGGTCTTCGTATACACGGCTCATTCTGTGCATATTACTGATCTGATTTTATGATGTGAATAAAAACTATGACTAGACAGTGTTACTTTGATGTCTTCAATACGCTTTTCAGTCTGGAAATATTAAAGGGCAACAAATTCATGGTTTTTAACCGTTTTAAGCCGCGTTGAAATCTGACAGGCAAAACATCAGTGATTGAATAATAGTTTTGTAATAAGAAATCTCCTAAAAGTTGTAAGCAAAAGCAAACTTCCGTGTATGCAGACTTGTCTTTTTACTTCTTTTCTCCCTTAATGCAATAATTATTATTGTTTAAATATTCCCGCCATTAGTTAACTCTAATCATACAAGTCCGAGACAGCTTAACATTGAAACTTTGCAGATTAAGCATTTAAGAAAATGTAAATGATGTAAATACGCACACATACACACACGCACCCACGCGCGAGTGCGCGCCCTATGACGTTTACCTCGTGCACTTTGCATTTTACGGTCCACTCATCCTGACTCGCTTGTCTTTTGATAATATTTCCAGACACTGAGTACTGAAACTGCCCGAGGAACACAGGAGAAGAGATCAGACACAGTCCAGTTGTCAATATGTGAAGTAAACGAAGTTGGCTCGCCATCACTTGCTGCAGATGTGGTCTTGTCCAAAACAAGGTACAAACCCTTGGCCTTCAATATCCCTATTCTTTTATTGTCTTCACTCGGTAAGAATGTTCTTTAAATTGCGAAGTCAAGTGTCTTGTTTGGTAATCAAATTGAATATTTGCTCTCATGTAAATTTTCCAACGGCGCTCACACCAAATACCTCCAAATACAATTTACTTTGGTTTCTTCACTGTTGTGAAAATGTTCAAAACTAATGTGAAGCTCACTGCGAGCGTCTCATATATACTCTGCTTGAAATCAGTGAGTAACAGTTCCTCGTGCTTGGGCAATGAATGTGACGTTAGAACGATGACGGTCCAATGGCAGGAGTTAAATGGGTACAGTGGCGTTCAGAAGTTACGGAACCTTTTGCATGTTTAACCGCGGTACCAAGCCATAACAACCGTGGCTTTACTGTATCAGTAAGTGTTGTCATGTTGAGCTGTAGTAAAAGCGCCTGGATAAATCTGGATGGTCGCCCAAAGTGTTGATTTTATGACTATGGCGAACACAGATATAGAATACAATAACCGTTAAACCTACGCCTAGTTTGCCTACGACATCATGCAAGGAGCGTGTTGGGAATGGCCAAGCAGATACTGTGTTTGTGTTTGACACGTGACTGGAGAGTGAAACTCATACTTTCGACTGATTCCGTGTATTGACCACTGTTTTAATGAACCTTTCATTTCCATTTTGAAGGTATAGATAAAGTATGAGGCGCTGAGCTTTACGAGAAATAGAGCAGATAATTGGCGCGGCTTCGCCTCGCGCGGCTTCGCCTCGCCAATTATCTGCTCTATTTCTCGTAAAGCTCAGCGCCGTGTGCTTTATCTGGCTTAAAGCACGAGTAATAAACCCTGTGCAATGGTGCGTGGAACGCATTCGTGGATGACGTGACTTTACACGAAATAAAGCACGGCGCGACCTGTTGTCTTTTGACAGGAGAGTGATTTAATGCATTTTGGATTGTCTCTAGATTTTGCTTTTAACTGGCTTAAAGTTAAATAGAAGCGCCGTCTATCTTTATATTTTCTTTGTACCTGTCCGGCACATTTTGACCAATTAACTGTGAGCACTAAGACAAGTTAGTATTATGGGATATTTTTATGTTGGTATTCAACTTTCAAAGCCTTTAAATAAATCCTCAACACCAGCCTCTGTGTCGACACATTTTGAAAACTAAGACCGATTATCTGAAATGATATGATAAATTATATTTAGAATATTATCTGAAGGCTTCGTAAGGAAGTTTTTTCTCCATGGAGTTCGAATCTTACGCTATGTACGTAAGAAAAACATTTTTTTTAGAAATAAAGATCCTTGTAGCCAGGGGCACGTGAGGGATAGGACAGAGATATTTAAAGTACTTAATTGATTTGGCACGGTGGCCATGTCTCTAAGCAGTTAGATTAAAATACAATTGCGCCCCCAACCCGAAGTGACAATAAGTTTATAATAGAAAGTGATTAAAACCACAAGTATGGGAGAAGCAAGGGGCGTGGGGTGGTGTTGGCGCCAAGAATCCCCGCTGTGTTCCAGGCACCGCTGAATACAGAGGCGTCGTAGAGAGGGTACCTTTGAGTTCCACGACATCAAGTTTTATTTGGAAAGTGAATAAACCGCGGAGAAGCGCAGTCTTCAGCACACTGAACTGTACACAAGTAAAATTTGGCACACGTCCCCCTGTTGTTACCACTACCTGATGGTGAAAATGCTTTACATTTAGGCCATAAACTTCCTAAAAAAACTTCCAAAAACTACATTTAGGCCATAAACTTCATAATACGCTAATGACACCATCTCTTTACTGGAGATAAAATTACCAAGCTTTCAGATATTAAATAATTTTGGAATCATTAAAAAATTCTTCTGTTGCACTTGTGGCGCTTTCGCCGTGAAGAATAGAAATAGAAGGAAATGGCATTTCACTTGGTTGCTGCAGCTCAATAGACATGTTCTCATTTCAAGAATTCACGACTTAAACACGCAGCATCTGTAAAATTTGCCGCTTTCCTCCATTAAAAAGGTCTGTGTCATTACCGTACTGTAGATTTTAGAAATAACTTTGAGCACAATCCTGGTGATTAGACTTGGGTATATCAGTGACCAACTTATTTATAATAATAACACATACACAAATACATCTAATGTAGCACAATTTATTTCCAACGTGTGCTGGGTAACATACAGCAGGCGCTCAGTTATATAGATTTATGCGTGTATAAATGGCATTTAAGTGCCCTTGCTGCTCATTTAAGCCTGGCCATATTCATTTATGCCCGGCAGTATCAATTTACAAGTTCACAATTCTTCAGTTAAACAATATATATCTCTACTTATATATAACAACTTTCTTGTTAAATCCACTCCTTTCAAGAATGCGTAATGTCTATAGGTAATCGCACAAAAGAATCGAGTTTATTCCGTTGCTGACCGCTGATTTACGAATTTTGTGCCTTAAAACTTCGTAAGGCCATTTTACGCTTCAACAATTTACATCATTATAATATTCGTTTCCACCTTCGCATATTTTACAAGTATTAATTATAAGATGTTCGTGTACCCCCCCCCCCCCTCTTCATGGGCTTAAAAACGGTCACGTAACCCCTGTTAGATCACTGCATTTATACAAGTATTTCCGACAGTCACTAAATGCTAGAAAATGTCTATCATCTTTACAGAGAAATGCTAAATAAACAGATCCCTTGGTAAAAATTCCACAAAATCACCAAGCCACGCTAGTGCTCTTATTAAATTTGTTGGTTCCCTCCATCCCTAATTAAATAATAATAAATCTGCCCATCATTCTTTCAAAAACATTAACTGTTCAATGGCAGACTACTTCCGGTTTCAAGTTAGGCAGTGTCTGAACTGTCCCTGGTCCTTTTATACAGACTACAACCAGTGCTTCCCTCCACACAACCTCTGCATAGATGTGAATTGGGATAAGGTTTAAGGGAGGGATATCAATTACAGTACTGTAACATCAAGAAGTTCCAACTTGTTGAGTAAATCAAAGTTCCACTATCAAACCACCACGTGGTCAGGGAATTACTACCAAATATCAGGGAGGCTGGAAAATGACCTACTTGAATGAATGAGATAGCTTTAGCCTGTGAACTGCCTCTCTACCACTGTGACTGCTGCTATGATCTCACTAAGTCTAACCAAGAGACCTACTAATGGATCAAAATAATAATACTAATAATTGAATCATGACTTGGCCAAATCCTTAAGATGCATATTAATAAGCATATATATGTTATCTAAATCACAATCACAATGCCTTGGTAGTTAAAAAAAGAGTGCACTTCTCATACAACTTTCACAGCAGGTGCCCCTTACTTGAGTACACAGTGGCTGTTCAGACTAAGTCTAGTTTGGACCCCAAAACACACCACCAAGTGACCAAGATGACACAGAGACCCCCCACTAATGTCAGACAATGATTTGCCCTGTGAATTGGTTCAGTTGTCAATTTGTACATTCTAACTTTGGAACTGTTTTGTCTTGTACACTTCTGTAAGTATGCCACCTATCTGCAGCATTGCAATGAATTCATAACATACCAACTTTTTTCATGTCCAAACTAAAGTTTTCCACTTCAACACACTGCATATACCATCATGCAATGTTGCATTCATAAAAAATACTAGCAGATCAGTAACAAAGATTAATTACATTATTACAGCATGGCTTTGCCAGCTCTGAACAAAGTCTTAATGCGTGAAGCTGTCCAGTGTATCCAGCATATATTAACAACTGCATCTCTATATTGTGATTATAAGCGTAGTTGAGTTTTTGAAATCTAATACAAAATAAAATCAATCCTTGACACTGTGTCACTGTGATGTATACTAGTAGACCACTTGTAAAAATGAGGATATTAGTGCCTTAGATATCCACTGTCCTGCACCTTGATGACAGTTTCCAGTTCTCTTTACTTCATGAGTTTGGACTGAAAATGTTCAAATTTGCTCAACACTTTCCTCTCTGTTGAACACAACCACAAATTCTCCTAGTACATATGTGTGTAGATATGTCAAGCTTTTTAATATCAAATCAAACTATGATCCAGATATTTTAGAAAACTTGGTGCATACATCTTTTACTCCCTAATAACCTTTAAATTACAAACTTCATCCTTTTACACACATATGCCTTTCTCTTGGACTTCAATTTAATCTAATCCTATCATTAACAACAATAATTATTACAGTCTTTCTCTAAATGAAGTGAAACCTTTTTAGATTGCATTTCTTGTCTCCAACAGTAGCAGTTATCAAATGAGGACTCCAGTCTCTCATAGTAACTGTCATAAAAGACAAAGACCTATTTACATTTATACACTTTTAATAACACAAGTTGTTTATTGCAATATCACCCTTGGCTTGGCGCTGACAGGCCTCTCACGATTTCAATCAACATTTCTATTTTCCTATGCCCTAGACATAAATAAAGTGATTGTACTCTATCAACTTTCATTTCTATGACAGGTCAGGTGTAACTTTAACACCTACCTAAAGAGAGGACCTTTTCTAAAACTAAGCTAGAACTTAGCAACTAGAACTAATACTAAAGCCCCCCATGTACCAGTGAAACTTCTATGCAATTAACACCGTGCCTCAGTTTTGGCCTCCTTTTCTGACCTCCTTTTCAGCAAGAGCTGCACCCAGGACAGTCTTCATTTAAACACTGGGCATAAAACTCCAGACGCTTCCTTGTGCAAGTTCAGTTCCATGTGATATATATTACAGCATCATTGAACATAAAAAATGTTTTATTAGCTGCTTCTACCATGTCAAATATGTACAGTTATAGTAGCAGCATACTGCAGTGACCAAAATATGTTCAAAATGACAAAATATAATTTTTGTAATCAAAAACATTATTTTCAAAAATCATAAATCCCAACAAATTCACAATCTAAAGTAAGTGTCACTGAACATGGACTTTCAACCTAAGGCAGACCAGTTCAAGTTAATTACAAGACCAGCACTTAAGACAGATTCACACTATTTACCCCATCTTAATGAGAACAGTCATAAAAGCTAACTACAAGCAATCTGGTACTTATCAATGTATATGTGTATGATTACTCAATGTGACTGAACCAAATCAACAATAACTCACATTTTGATATGGCCTGTGAGAAAAAATTACCAACTAAACAAGTTTTATCAAAATTTGACCTATTTACATAACTTAATCTTTTTACAAAACCTTAACACTAACACCAAGGCTTTGATGAAAATGTTATGTCACTGATAACTCATAGGACCACCTGGTCTGTGATATCACTGGACTTAAATCAAATCGCATCTTCTGTAGTAGAGAAGATATGGCACTCTAGGCGGGGAATATTTCATTAACTGCGGGACAGTCACGACTTTAACAGTGCTGTCATCAATGCGCATCCAGCCGTTGATACCGTTGTGGTAGATGTCTGTGGTATAGTGACCGCCAGTGGCGTTCTTACCGTGATGGTACACAACTGAAATTAACAACATGTAAATATGTACATAAATAATGATAGAAATATCTGCACTTTTGTTTATGTGCAAAATTTACATTTTCCTGCAAAAATAGCACCAGACGTGTTAGTTTTCACCAATGATAAAATTATAAAATCCATATTCTTTTAAGTGAAAAATCTGGTAGCACTGGAAACAAAATGACCTAATATCATGGTTTCATTTCCCAAAAATTCCACACAGGCCAGTGTCACTGAGGTTCATATAGGTCTAGTGTTTGTCACCAAGTGCCCTGTGACCTGTGACCTTGGGTAATTAACAGAGCATTAACTCTAACTGTGACATCTGACATCCTAACTTCAGATACAGCTGACATCACAGCATCCTTCCTCAATGCAGAAAAACATCACGAAACACAGTAAATGACATATGTCACATGAAGACTAAAGTGAACACTGTAGGCCACAAGACTTTGGTGAAAAAAAATAAAAGTGGAATATAACCCTCAAAATGCCGTATGATCAAACCATCATCTTTACAAAAACTGCCCAAGACATAATACTAATTCTGACAGATAGGTTCGGGATTTTCTGTGTCATTTCTTAAAATTTTACACAAATAAGGTCATATTTCCCCAGAAAATAGCCCGTACTGACCAGCAAACAGCTTGTACGTCCTCTGTCCTGTGGGCAGCTTGGACCTCACATTGGGGGACAGCAGGTCTGGAAAGAACAAAATTTTATACATAAAGTTTATTTTAATAATAATTTTGACAACCTTTAAAAAATTTATTAAAAGTTTCTTTTTTCATGCCAAGTAACATTAAATTTACTTAATTAACATTGAATTTAAAATTTTTTCATTGTTTACTTCATTTTCCTCAACATATTTATGGGTGGTGGTGGCAGTACAAACCATGTTTTAAAACATTTCAAATTATTTGTCCACCATGGCTATAACATTTCATTTATAAAAAAATTCTACACCTGCTATATCAAGTACCCACACACATTCTTCCTGATCACCAACCTCCCCCCCCCCCCCCCCCCCCCCCCTTCTGATTTCACTCTGGTCATTAAACCCACACAAACCACCTGACACCTCATTTCTTACCCCACTCTGTATGCGCTTAATTAACAAGTATTAAAAATTATGACTATTTGCCACAGGTCAGTGTTGTCCTTGAAGAAGTCCCTCCAAGCCTGACCACTACACCATACTGACCTTCAGCTCATGGGTCACTTTTTATACTTCTTGTGTTTACAAACTCACTGCTTACATATAACTCATATCATCCTCTTTCCCCAAAAGATGAATATGAAGGATTTAAATTATCCTTATAATTCTTTAATCACCATAGGTATTATCACCGCAATTTAAAAATTATAACAAATTAATATCTTTTCTGGGCCATTTTTAGTATGTAATTCTATCAACCAGATTCAAGAGTAACAAAAATTAATCCTTTGTGTGCACAAACTATAAGTAACTGGCTCGCGCTGCCAGTAATTACGCGGCGGGATATTCAGGGCACAGACCGTGATCATAAGATAGCGCGAATAGAAAATAGAATTTAGAAAATAGACATTGCATGTGAATGAAGCCAAAGAAACATACACTTGATATCTCACACAAAATGCCTCATATTAGATAAGTATAAATGCCACCTTTATAAATCACACAAATACCTCCAACCCCCCTGAACATAGCCTTGAATCCCCCTGAACATGTCCCCGTCCCCACCTCTGAACATAGCCTCGTATCTTGTTGAACATAGCCTCGAATCCCCCTGAACATGTCCCCGTCCCCACCTCTGAACATAGCCTCGTATCTTGTTGAACATAGCCTCGAATCCCCCTGAACATGTCCCCCCACCCCACCTCTGAACATAGCCTCGAATCCCCCTGAACATGTCCCCCCACCCCACCTCTGAACATAGCCTCGAATCCCCCTGAACATGTCCCCCCACCCCACCTCTGAACCCTAGCCTCGTATCTTGTTGAACATAGCCTCGAGCCCCCTTGAAAATAGCCTCAAACCCACCTCTGCTAACTTCCAGATCCACTCCATATTCCACATGTTTGACAACTTTCTGGGAGCCTCCATTTTTGTCGTAAACAAAACATTTGAGGTGCAGGACCAGCACAGGGGGAAGCTCTTCCAGCGTGGTCCGACGACTGGCCTCCACCTGGAAAATAACAGGGAAAAGATATTCAGATCATGTGTGGATGAAATGCAGGGATATCTGAAATTTTGAAAAAGAAAAAGAAAATATCACCAGCATTTTCAGTTTTTTATGACACTGACCCTACAGATTCATGAATTCACTATGTTTTCTAAATAATTACCATACCAGTTTTGAAGTATTACAGAACAGAAACACAGAAAAATGTTCATTTTCAAAACTGCACTTTAAAACCATGCCTTGAAAAAAAAAAAAAAACAAAAAAAAACAATTGCTAGAGCACAGAGATTAAAGGTAAATTAGTAAGCTGGATTTTTTATCACAGCTTTCCAACTTTCTTTCCAATGCTAATATAAGTGGCCTTTGGGCAAGAATTAAAAACTCCTTTACAGCCTGTCCTTCCTGTCTCCAAGAGATATAAGTTACTACTAATAATTCACACTACTTATTCACACAGCTATGTACGTAACACAACTCACTGCATAATGAGGCTGTAAATATACAGTTTGTGATGACAACTTCCTCACCATGTCATTTCTTCTGGCTCTGCAGTTTTATTGCTGGATCATTAACTTTTTTCTACAGGGTTTTCCGTTGATTACTACATCGGAGTAGCTTAAAGCTTTCTTACTAAATGGGTTTGTGTTTAAGAAGACATCTTGCAGCTGTGAGATGTCACAGGTGGAGACATTAACACAAGTCACTGCTTACATTGTGAATCTAAATGATGGACAATTTGTGAGAGAATACTACTTTATTATACATGAGGGGTGTACAGATGGTTGAATAAAACATTAATGTGGAAAAGTAGTGAAGTAAGGTAAGTGTAAAACTTAAGACTGATTTTTCTCCATTGCAATGCTCTGTAATAAATTACTGTATATTCTAAAAAATCTCCCATTAAATAAAAAAAAACCTTGTCTCTTTCTCTCTCCCCTAGAACACAAGCAAGTGCATGCAAATGCAGTCCCTCACTCACAAGTATAATTTTGGCACGTTCTATTAATAGCCATCACTTAAGCATACAACACAGCACTACTGTCGTACATTGGCACTAGATTTCAGTTTCGTAGTTAAGTTTGACCAACGGCCAAATTGTGACCATTAACTTTAGAAACTTCTCGGCCTGCCAAAGACAGCTGTCAGTAAGACGCCATTGTGAGCATTTCATTAGAACTGTCATCACATCAGATGGCATGACGGCGCTTTCTAAACTGTCATTTAGGACAAGTGTACCTGATATAACTTATCTACACAGTTTATATTGATGAACATGAACCCTTGCAACTTGGGAGGTTCAAAAACAGATAGAAAAATACATGTCAGAATATTTTAATTTAAAAAAAATGAATAAGAATTTTATTTCATAGTCACTTGCGAAGTGTTAAAATGAGGCTTATAAAGCTGTTCACAAAATAAATAAAGAAATAAATCACATAATGATTACATATTTGACCTTTAATTTGCTGATAAGCTTTATATATAATTTACTATAATGTATGTAATATGTGAGCTGACAGTTAACACTCAAGCTAGACTGAAGAGCCAGAATCTTCAATTATGGAGACAATGCACCACCTCACTGTCCTCAGTCATCTTGATCAATCAAACTAAGGAATAAGATTTCCCAGCATCTGCTGGATGGGAATAATAATGAAAAATCAACTATCCTTACCAAAAAAGTGAATATATTTTAAAATTATTACCACAGGATGGATGATGCACCTTTTTTCTACAAGTAAGAAGCTGGAAGAAATCCCTGTCATAAGCTGAGGCCAGCAAAGAAGTTGGCAAGGAAATCTCCAGTGCCAGAATCTCCAATTAAGTATCTTTCCTATCTTTGAGAAGAACATTGCCAACAGAAGTGCAAATGTTGGATTATGATATATTTGGGGAACTTATGAAGCATTAACTGTCTGTGAAGTGCAAGATGTAAAAGTGATTATATACGAAAGTGAAAGAGTTCAAACAAAACCTGACAAAAAGTTTATAAAAGATGCATATTATGTTGGGAATGTTTCAAATAAAGGAAAGATATTCTTGGACATCCAGACATAGGATATTTCCTTGGTAACTTCTTTGCTGGTCTCAGTTCATGAACATAGTGATTGCTCCCCGGCTTCTTTCACGCAGATCAAAAATTTTCCATCCGTCTCTTTTAAATAATTCAAAACATTTACCCTTTGGTTGCTTGAGGTTAACAATGGCAGTGCTAACATAAGAAAAATACATTTTATAACCCTAAAAACATAAGAAAAGTTATATAACAAACTATGGGCCCTTTATTTGCCATTGATGAAACTCTTGTTAGTGCATTTTGCCTGCCATTTTGAAAACTAATTTATCAACTTAGATGGCTGTTGTGGAAAAAAAATTAGTTGTCACCTCATTTTCTGCCATAGAAAACACTTCACCTAACCCTATTCAAAACAGGTATATAAATACATTTAGTTACTATATGTAGTACACAAGCTTTTTATGTGTGTCCAAAAATAGTGAAATTAAGGACCTAAAGAAATGCCCATAGCTCAAATTTCTCATCAGAAATGAACCCATTGACCCACTTTGCCTCTAAAATCACCTCTTCCCCAAGAGATTTCTAAAAAAAGTTCTTATATACCCTACCCTAGTCACATATTGTTCTTCTGGCAGATTGAACTACCTGTAGAGATATTAATAGCAGCCCGCGTGCTGTCCAAGTATAAACACTGTACCTGGCAGCTGCACTGTTTGGGGCACAGGTAAGTCATTAATGTCAGAGATCATGGGACCACTGCCAACAACAGGGACAATAGAGCTAAGACACCTTTATTACTGGTCAGAAAATGATCCACATCAAGTATTTCCTGTCTCTGGGTGACCAATGTTAACAAGTAACACGTTAAAATGGGAGTTATTTGTCAAGCACTAAACACAATCTACTAACTTAAAAAGCTCAGAAAAATATTACTTTGGCTAAAGATAAATTTCAGTGATCAGCTTTTAATTAATATCAAAAGTCTAAAATCCAATCATGTTCAGTAGACTTCACAACACAATATATAATATATTAAAAGTTTTTGCCATTTGTATTTAAATTGGTCGCTACCCATAACTCCTACACAGCCCCAAGAAATTTTCAAAATCTTCATTTGCACCCAAGAGTAACTTGCATGCAGAAGTCCTTACCTCCATCTTGGTTTTGGAGCAGGTAAACCCCTGCAATGACTCCTTGGTGGCCAGTGAAGCTATGGCTTCTTTCACACTCTGTACCTTCTCATTCTGGAAGACAAAGACAGGAAAAACTTCGGTGTTCAGGGGTTTCATCCAACATACCTACTGTTGTTTTTCTAATAATAATCATTTAAGTTTCTACCATGGCAAAGATCATAAAAATCTCAACATTTTCAACAAGACTACGGTTGTTATTTGGTTTTCAATGGAAGACTTATGAAACCCTGTCTGAATACTACAAGTAAACAAATCATGTGAATACCCATACTCAACAGGGCACTGCCCACGAGCTCCATATACAAAGTAGCATGCCAGGAGACAGCAAATATATGTATATCTAGCTGGAGAGTGAGGTAAGACATCACCAGTTTACCTGTATATCTAGCTGGAGAGTAAGAAAGGATTCCAGAGTGGCGGATTCTTTAGATCCATGCTGGTACAGGGCAGACCTGATGGAGCCTCCAAATATCTCCGTGATGGGGGAGTGGGCAAACTTGGACTACAAGGAAAGCAAACATCTTCACTGAGTTTATATTTTTTAAACATTTAAGTAATCAAAAGCAAAGTGAAGCAATTCATTTTTCCAAAATACATGAAAAAATTCACATTTCTCTTCACATTCATCTTTTATCTTCTGTGCTACAGTTTGAGAGTTTCCAATTCTCTCTACTGCTTCAGTAAACATGTAATTGAAGAATTAGGGAATTTTCTTTCCTTCAATTTTTTCCATGAAATTTTATTTATTTTATTTCTTTTTAATTAAATATAATTGTAAAAGCAAAGTTGTGAACCACGTACCATTCGTGTTACTACACTCTTGTTTCTGCGCCCAACTTGTTCCCACTCATCTTCCCCCTCCTCCTCTCCCTCTGCTGCCTCGCCGTCCATCACCTGCGTATCTCCATTCATTGACTTCTCTGAATAAGATTAAAAATTACAGGGAAGGTTAAGAAAGTGATAATATAACTGAAATCAATGATCTTCACAAACAGATATTAAGTGAGGAGTGAACATCTGAAGCAACTACTGTTAAAAAAAGTTTACATAATAAAGCTGATATAAGATAAAACAGCAAAAATAGAATCAGCTTTTACACTGGAACTCTATTTCCTCAAACTTTTCATATCTTTCATGATCTTGAACTTTTTACAAAGATCTAGACATCTATAGGCATAATTCTAGTACACAGTTAGGTCTGCTATGTATCAAACTGGTCTGTATAGAAATCTTCAACTAAACCAGAATAATAGCAGCTCTGCCTGTTCTTCTGTGAACAACCAGGCTATGTCAGCTTAGTAAACAACCTATGCACCCCTGTGTACCCCTCTCACGCCCCCCTCACCCCCACCCCCCCTCACCCCCACCCCCAGATTGGGCACATGCTCTGTCCAGTGGTAGGGGAGGCATTAAGCTGGAGTACATTTAGTAAGTACTCTGCAGTTTATCAATCTCACCACAGAAAAAGGCCAAACTGAGAAGAGTGGATCTATGTTTTATGTGAACTCGACTATTCACAACCAACATAGAAAATACAGTAGTTATTGTGATCAGGATTTTTAATCACAAGCATATTACCTGGATCTGCATCAATATTCCTTCCATCTACTTCATTGATAGCTGCCAACATCTCATCGTGTAGACCATTTAACACACAACTCAAGAACTCCTCCGCGTCTTCTTGTTTTCCATGCTGAAAAGATAACAGACACAATCATGTCGCAGTGTTAATATGTCTGAACAGAACCAGGTCAAATCCTCAGGTTACCAGGCCAATTGTTGGGAGGCACCCTTCACACTGGACACACCCACAGGGGAAGCCAAACTACAATGAGCCAAAACATAAACATCCTGCACAATACACAAACATTTCATCAGTTTTATGGGTTATATTATGTTTTTTAAATCATACAAAGTGAATGCTGTTATTCAATGTGCTACAGATTACAGTGCATTTATAAGAAATCATCAGCTCACTTGAAGACAATTGTTATATGTTACATAAATAATTCACATGGAGCACTTATATTTCGTGCTCAGCTTATATCTAGTCTATGCAGGTAACAATGAGAATTCTAAGCTTAAAAGGATAAACTAAATTTTTTGAAAGATTATCTAAAAAAAAACTGGCCTGAACATTTGATTGTCATTTTAGGGGGTTTCCTTTGAACTATCAAGCTGCTATAAAAACATGATACCATGCAAGAAGACCAAATGCTTGCCACTGTAACCTTCTGCACATTTTACATTCATCCTTACCATGAAGTTATTGGATTTGATCAGTTGTAATATTTGTACACATCCTTACCATGAAGTTATTGGATTTGATCAGTTGTAATATTTGTACACATCCTTACCATGAAGTTATTGGATTTGATCAGTTGTAACATCTTGTACACGTTGACGGGTTCAAAAGGCTTCCCAGGGTTGATGTCCTGAACTCCTTTGTTCTTCTTTCCTGGAAATATTAGAGGAAAAAATTCAGTTACACAACTAGTACCCATTTTCTTTTGTTACACATTAATCTGCCTATATTGAAGAATACATACACATTTATGTGCAGAAATGTATCTGTTAGTAAGAATAAATTACACCCTGTCAAAGATTTTTTTATGTTTCGGTTTTCTTTATTACTCTTTTATTGTGAAAAGTTACACCATAATATTTTTAACCCACAAACAATTGACTTTGGCTTTACTTTTCAAGGATGCATTTAAGTCAGAGAGAATATCAATTTTGAACCATCGCAGCCCTGTTTTCCCATTAGAAGAACAGACAACAGTGTAATGTAAGATGACCTTTACCTTTAGGGTACTGATATGGAACAAACTCATTGGCCAGCTCCACACTGGAAGTAGAAGACATCATCAACAGAATACAGCTAGTTTTATCTTTAAAACAATTTCTTTTAATATACACCACGCTCTCTGAATTCTGACACTCTTAACAGGTGTTATTTCTTTCTTCTTTTTCAATAATTTGATCTTGTATTCAAACGAAGAAACAATACGCTATCTTTCAAATGATATCATTTAACCCATAACATATTATTTTGATACTGTGCTCAGGTAAGAAAGGTGTCAAGTTTTCCGTTCATCTATATTTCAAAAATTAATTTCCTACTGTGAGACATTCTTTGTTGTCACAGCATTATCTATGAACTAAGTAGGAAGTCTTACAAGCTGTCCAGTATTGGGGTAGAGCTAGGGCCTCTGTTCCTGGCTGAGAAAAAGGCAGGCATTTGTTTGAGCAAATTATAAAATGGAGGACACGCCATCAAAGCTTGAAGAGTCTGAGGAAAAGATGTCAAGGACTCATTTATACTTTGCTTGAAATTTCAAGTCACTCAATAGAAAGTTAGCCTTTTCCGTGCATAAAATCTCCCACACAAAACACTGGTCATCTCCCACACAAAGCACTGGTCATCTCCCACACCAAACACTGGTCATCTCCCACACAAAATACTGGTCATCTCCCACACCAAACACTGGTCATCTCCCACACAAAATACTGGTCATCTCCCACACAAAGCACTGGTCATCTTCCACACAAAACACTGGTCATCTCCCACACCAAACACTGGTCATCTCCCACACCAAACACTGGTCATCTCTCATATTAAGCAGTGGTCATCTCACACACAAAGCAGTGGTCATCTCACACCAAGGATACAGCATTAATATAACACCAGTTGCCCCTGTTGACCAGTCCTCGTGGCTGTAGCGGAGCTGGACGGTGACTGACCACTGCGCCCAGTAACAACTCTGAAACAGAGGAAATACCATTAATTTTTTTGAAACTTCAAACTTCACATCCATTCTACAGCTCTTTATAAGGTGGGATTTTTTTTATTACAACTTTACCGTCAAAATAGGCAAGGGGCCCCTTTTACATATCTACGAGATAAAATCAAACAGCCAGTAATAAAAGAATAAATAATAAGAAATATTATTATTTAATACAATACTAAAAATTACAGTCAACTGATCAAGACATTAAAAACAGTTCACAACAAATAGAACCTCAGCAATACTTGTACCCATTCAGCTAATTTCAAAAATGTTCTTTTTGCAAATCTCTGGGTCTAAAATCTTTTCAAGTTATTGTAATCTTTCTCTAGTGCTAAAACACCAGATACTCTCAGCAGCTCACTTACCTCCCACTTTCTTGGCTTTCTTATCCTCAGATGCACTGACAGTGACAGGCTCAGGCAGTGGCTCCTCTGGTTTTGCTGGAGACGGAGACTTGGCTTTCTCTCCTTGCTGCTCCTCGCTGTTTACAACATAAGTCACACTCTGCTGTGATGAGCCACCGCGGAATAGGGATGCCCAACTTGTTGGCTTTTGTGCCGCACCGTTCCCACCCTCTGGTGGCTGGCCATCTTGACTAGCTGCTGCATTCTGGGTAATTTCTGAAGCATCCTGGGAAGCCTGTGTGTTATTTACATCATTAGAGTCTAACTTGTGGTCATCTGTGCTCACAGCTGTCGTGTCACTAAGAATGCCATCACTGCGAGGCTCACATGTTCCATCACTACTTTTGGAAACATTTATCTCCTGGTTTTCATTCATGAAGTTCCCTTCCTCATCCACAACATGGGGTTTCACATTGTTCCCCTCCACAACAACTTTCCCACTGTGAATTCCCTCACTACCTGTCCTATTCTCTAACCCTCTTGAATCTGTATTGATCACGGAGTCTTTGCTCATATTTTTCCTATCTAATACACTGGATAGTGAGGTAACAGTCTGACCAGGGCCTGGTGTCAGCTGTCCCTCTATTGCTTGACTAGCTTCATTCATATCACTTCCCTGTTGGGGAATACTTGGACTGTGAACACTTGTCTTCATTGCATTGCTGTGAGATGTAGAGTTCTGAATGCTGTTACCGGGTTCACTGCCCACATGGGGTGCACTGTGTTTTACACTCATTACAACCTCTGGGGGTTCAACATTCATGTAGGCACCATAATTTTCTTGACCACCTGGTGGTTTGGTGTCCATGTAGGCACCAGTTTGCCCACCACTACCCAACCTGTAGGTGGAGCCACTAGTTTTGGCCAAAGAGACAGGCCCAGGAGGGCACTGGCCTTCTCTGTGCATTCCAACAAACTGGGACGCCACTTGTCCCAGATGGTCCACATGTTGTCCCGTGGGGTTTTGTCCCGTGTGACTTCCCGGCACACCTGCCACCTGCTGCCCTTTCTGTTTCTGGTCAATGAGTTCATAATATCCAGGCGGACGTTTCTTTTTATTTCTGCGCTCCTTGGCGCCCCCTTTTCCACCGTCATCTGATTGCACGCTGTCATCCCGCTGGTTAGTATACAAATTGGCACTGGAATACTGGTCTGTCTGTACTGGTAGGGGACTGTAGCCAGACGCTGTGAACAGTTCATCACCTACGTCCCCAAATGTAATCCCAAGGGTAGCAGCAAAGTGACCGTGGTCATTTTGATACTGGACGGGGCCGTGGCCCCTCTCTGCCCCCTGACTCCCATCTCCTTGACCTGCAAGTAAAACCAATATAGAATACTTGCCTCATCTTAGTTGAATCCAATGATAAAGAATTATACTATATAATAATATAAACAAATATAATATATATTGTAACATATACTAATATAATAAAAATATTAGACTTCACATTATTTATAAATAAATTATTGGGCGACATTTTTCACTATTTTGGATCAACGTTTCCATAAAATGCTTCCAAGGAATCTGCAGCTGTGTACTTACCACCTTGGTCACCACAGTTAGGTTCAGTCCATGGAAACTGTAAATATCAAAATATTTCACTTATCACAAGAAATGAATAATTACTCTTACATCATCTAAATGAAACAGCCCAATAAAGAAAAAAATCAAGACTTTGATTCCAATACATCACATCTTAAATGCAAACATCCTGATTGTAAAAAATTTAATTCTGAAGTTTCATAGTTATAATATCATATTTATAATGGATGAAAGTTGCAAAAAATGAAAATCCAGAAAATATAGCTTGCAATTTCTTATCGCATTTAGACCACATCAAAATTTGATCAAAATGAAGATTGAAAATCCTGAAATCAGGCGTTATCCTTAAAACTTTCCCTCAGGAATATGTTATCATGCAAACATTTAGTTCAATGGCACCAGAACTGTTTTTTGATACAACCACTCTACAAAATTTAAAATATCTTAAACACCAGTAAATCATAAACTGTCTACAAAATGAAATGATTTTCTTTTCATTAAAACAAGTCAGGGAAGCATGTGCACCATTGCTGGGGTAGCGCTAACACTCATCAATTTTCCAAATGCTAAAACTGACTAAAATTGGAAAAAGAAAAAGGGCTTGATTTGATTGTTTTAGTCATATTATAACATTTGGATAAGAAATTGACAAAAAAGTGGTGATTTGGCTAAGTGAAAGAAATTGCTAGCGCTACCCCAGCATTGGATTTGTCACTCAAGAGCAGAAATGCTCAGGCCATGCTTCTCCAGTACTGTGACCTTGACACAATTCTTACCTCAATAGGATAATTGTCCTTTGGTTCATATAAGATTCCTATCAACTGGCTTTCTTCATCAGGAGAAAGGTTACCAAGGTCCAGAAATGATATTTCCTACATACATATGTATAACAGTACATAAAACAGCATAAACTCCCAACAAATCATTACAGCTACAAAAATGTTTAAATTTTAAAATTACATTTTTGCTATAAAACACAGCCATACATCTACTCTTTAATGACAATGTTGATATTCTTTACTGACAAACTTTTCAAGTAAATATACTAGAAGCCAAATATGCACTGTCACATTCTAATTTTTAGCAGTATGTCCACATCAGATATCACCTACAAAATGTTCCATTAGTGGCAAAAGAAGAATTATTCCACAGTTACGATGCTGAATGACAACATCAAATATAAGCTGATGCAACTCAGAAGAAAGGATATTGGAGGCCCTCCTCAACTCAGCACCAATCCAGCTGAGATAATTTTGTGCAACTAAGACAGATTAACAGCCAACTCAGGCCTATGCAGACTTCCAGCCCACTCTCTCTTTCTCTCTCTCCCCCTCTCTCTCTCGTTCTCGCTCTCTCCTCTCTCTCTCTACCTCGCCTCTCTCCATATTTCTCACTCCTTCTATCCCCCTCTTGCTCTCCCTGTTTCCCTCTCACTCTCTTTCCCCCTTTTCCCTCTCTCTCCCTCTCTCTCTGAGTCTCCCCCTCCGTCTCTCTCTCTCTCCCTCTCTGGGATAATCAAGTCGTGCAACAGATGTGCCGGTCATTAACAAGAGTACCCATTCCCTGACCCCCTTGATTTCCTCTCAACGAACAGTTCACATGTATAGCATTGTGCAGGAAAAGTTGACACAGAGTTCTGACATACCTGTGACGAGGAATCCATCCTCAAAACATTGGATATTTCACGATCATGCCCTCGCCGTACTCGCCATGTTGGAGCTACTGAGCATGCGTGCTTCGTTACAAAACCGACACTAGAAAGCGCTGTTGCACAAGACAGCAGCAATACGCGTCTCCTGCAGATTTGTACGTGCAACTTCTTTGCTTCTTTTTTAAAATTTACTTTACGCCTATTCGAATATTATTATTATTATTATTAGTATTATTAGTATTATTATTAGTATTATTATTATTATTATCATTATTTGTTATCATTATTATTATTATTATAATTCAATTTATTTGTGCCTTTTTTGGTTTTTTAATTGGTTGATTAAAAAATAGATACATTTGACAAATTTTTTTTATTGTCATGTGGGCTTTAATTTGTTTTGATTTGATTAGATTTAAACACCGTGAATTGAACAGATAAAAAAGAATGTATATAGGCTGTAATGCAGGTTTTCCTTAATTTTAGTTTTCAAATATACGAAATGAAAAAAATAAATAAATAACAAGTACCAGTTTTGTTCCCTTTTGCTTCCAAATGAAAATTATTTTGGTTTAAACAGTCTGAATGCCAAGGAAAATTTGAGACATGAGCCGATTGTGTCCTTCTTTTCCATTTTTTGCTCAGTGATTTTGAATTGTGGCCATGTACTGTATCCCCCAAGTGGCAATGGTCAGCTTTGCATCTGTCCCCCCCCCCCCCCCCCCCCCACCCCACCCCCCCCACCCCCCTTCAAATAATCCTGGATGTGCCCCTGTACTGGGTTAACATTCTGGTAGGCATGCACTTTCAAAAAATGTTGCATAGAGCTATCAGATCTTTCTTTCAGAAAATTAAGAGCGACAGAGGAACTATATATAAATTATATACTTAATTGTCTTCTCATCTCCAAGTCCTACAGAAAGATAAGATATAACATGCAATCAAGCATCAATGGGACAAAATTCAACTGATACCATGGTAAATGTATCATCAGCTAGTTTTAAATTTGCCTCTTTGAAGAAGGCTCCACAACACTTTTATTATTTTTTAAAAACTACACGTTTAGGGTCCTGCATATACATTTATTGATCTTAATGCATATATCAATTCTTTTAAATTTTTATTTCCACAACTTCAACCTTTTGATTTTAAATAAACTTTTCATTTTTATTATTATTTTTATTATTAGTGGTGGACCTACCAGGTATTATCATGTAGAAGGTTCACTTTGACAACCAATTAGATCAGGCTTTCTTTGAATATCTTTGGTATTTTGAATAAATAATAAAAGTAATAACATTAATTAAAACGAGAAAATTGATTAAAACAAATGTAGAAAATTAAAATGTTACTTAATCACTCTTTCTAAAAACTGGTCTAAAAATTTTAATTGTTAAAATTTTTTAAAAATTTAGAGTTCCCTTTACTTAGCAATGGTAGCATTGATTTTAAAGGAGTACAAGGTTTATAATCAATTTTTATCTGTGAGCTGCATCAATTAAATTCTAAATCCTAATTATCTTTTTAAAGTCTTAAAAGACTTGTAGTAATATTTTCAGTTTTACTAATCCTTCACTCTCTAGGGCAAGTTTTGTCAAAAAGGCTGTGCAAGGTCAAAAAGAATTAATTTTGTTTTTTAACATCTCACTTTGGTAATTCATGTCAAATGTGGTCAAAAGCACAGGTAATTCAATAGTATATAATAAATCCTTCATTGTATTACATCATTAAAAACTGTATTTGTTTACAAGGAATAGCTGTATATTTCTCCGTATAATTATTAATTAAAACCGAATGAAGAAGGTATTTTAAATTGAATTACAAAACATTTAAATTCAAAACAAAAAAACATGGAAATTAACCAAAATTTTATTGTTAAAATACATCCAATAAGCTAGAGATGAAATTTCTTTTAAACATCATTTGATAAAAATCAGATGAACAGGGCTGCTATCCTGATTTAATCATGATGAACCAAACCTTAATTTGTCTTAATTAAACAAAATATCAAAATTTTATTTCGCCCTATAAAAAAGATCAAAAACTCTTGTCACAAACTTGGAAAAACCATTTTTCTCAGGAGAGATATTTAGATGTGTCATTTTTATCAGTTTCAGTGTGACACAGGTGCAGGGGGAGTGTATGTATATCTACAGCGTAAATGGTATTGCAATTAATTCCTTTTCCTTAGCACTCGATCATTAATTGCGCTTTCTTTTTCCAAATGTGAATACTATCATGCCTATAGATTTAGAGTCTTTGCTAGTTTGTGACAAAAGACCTTTTGATCTCTATATCAGTAATTAATTAAAATCGGATGAGTGCTATTTTATATATACTTGATAATGCTGCAGTTTTAACCCTAATTGTACTACAAACTGACATATCACACTAGAAGCAGTATGTTTTATAATAATATATCTGACAATCAGCATTAAAATGACAGATGAATAAAGTTAACAAATCATAAAGAATTATTAGATATTGTTTTATCATGTGCAAAACAAAAAATTACTGGACTTGCATATTAAATGCAAGACATATATGGTCTTCAAGCAATATCTGAATTTGACTGTTTTTCCCCTTTTCTAGTTTGGGAAAAGGTCCCAAATAATTTCAGGTGTTACAGCATAATCAACTTACCATCCAAGACAAAACTATGACATTTCCAGCAATTGTGTAGTGAACATGGAAAACAAAACTGCACTCATGTATATATGTGATTAAATAACACCCCCCCTTCACACACACACACACACACACACACACACACACACAAGTAGGCCTAATGAGCACAAAATAAACCAAACCAATCAAAACCAATTAAAGCCATTTTCCATCCCTATGCCTATATACATGTATAAATACATATACATACATACTATAGTAATAGCCAGGGATGCCCCCACCCCTCCCAGCTTCCCGTACCTGATGCTGGAGCACCCTGGGCAAGCTAGGCAGACTTATCTGTTACTTTGATATTATCTTGGACAAGCCATATGTACAGCCACATGACCAGCCACAAGATATATATGATCTAATTAAACTCAAATTTAATGATTCCCTAATATATACCAATGTTTTCATATACTAGTATGTTCCAAGCTAAATGTCTACACAACTTAATTTGTTTTTGTAAGCTTATATTATACATGACCTACATCTAAATCCAAAATTATACATTTAAATGAAGAGTTACAAAACCTGTGCCTTCAATTAAATGCACTTACACGTAAGTATACATGTATCTCACTTCTCCCAATCCTTCCAAAAAGCAAACTTACATGTAATTATATATAGTACATGTACCTCACTTCCCCCAAGCCTTCCAAAAAATAAACTTACATGTAATTATATATGGTATATGTACCTCACTTCTCCCAATCCTTCCAAAAATCCAATCTAACTAAAACATTATCTTTAATTTAAATGAAATAGCAAGAATGATCATTTTTGGACCCTATAACTACTACATTGTAGGTTACTTATATTGTCCCTTAATAACATTACATAATAAGAAGTACAGTATATCCTGCAAACCATGCAGGTCAAAGCCACCCCCCCCCCCCCAAAAAAAAAAAAAAAAAAGGGAAAAAATTAAGAGAGAGAGAGAATTTAAAGAGTAAAGAAAAGAATATAGCAATTAAGTGAGATGAGGCAAAACGGGCAGTTTTTCCTGTACCTTAATTTGCCCTACATATAATACATGTACATAGTATAGGTCCATTTGTCCTTATCTACCATGCTAGTATACCCTGTTTATTATATTTGCCAATTAAGTGAAATGGTTCTCTTCCTACATGAGTGAAATAAGGCAAAATTAAAATGTGTAGTTTGCCTGTCTCTGCGCCCATCCCCACTCCCCATCCCCACCCCACCCCCAAAAAAAAGAGGGTAAAGAAAAGAGTATATATACAAGTGAAATATGTAGTAGGAACATCTGTCCTCATCTACAGTTTATATTTACATTATATTTGCCAAGTGAAATGGTTCTCTTCCTAAATGCCCAAAAAGTGGAGATACCACTGAGGTACAATGTCCATGTACTGCAAGGTTGAAAACTTGGGTAAAGTTTCTCAGTACCAGTACGTGTTATATCTCAATTTCTCCCTCAACTGGATCTCCAACTCCAGTGAATACTTGGCACTATCTATACCTTATCTGTTATAATTCTGATTATAGAACAGGTGGCATACGGAGATGTACAGGGAATACCTCCCCCCCCCCCCCCCCCCCCCCATTAAACACCAATCACCAAGATTAAAATAACTCATTTACCAATCACCAAGATATATTCAGGCCAACCACCAATCACCAAGTATTCTTGAATCACGTACCACGCAGAATATAGGACGCACATAACGCATCACTCTAAAAAATACAAGGTCAATCACGTGGAATGCAAAAGGTATATCCTACCCTCGCATACTGCTTACTAGCATTTTACCATCTCTATAGTTCTGAAATTATACATATTTTTATAAATTCAGATGCTGATGTTAGAAGAATGTGGTTCACACATTATATACACATTCTGACAACATCAGCATCTGCCATACACACTGCACTATATAATCTTCATCGTGATTCCTCCATAATTTAAAAATTCACTTTAGATTTGTAAAAAATAGCAACTAAAATCCTTTTAAACTACATGTACAGAGTCCATGGTCAAGTTACTACATTTCATTTTC